ACACAAATTACATTAGTCTACATCATTCTGACTAATTTTTCTTTTACTTCACTCCAGCATGACTTACAAATGGAAGGAAACCTTTAAATCCCAAGGAAACCTTTAGATAGAAAACTGATGAAAACTACTTTATCTGGACTGCTACAATCTGAACTGGCCACTAGATGTCAAAATAGAGAAAGAACAAAGCTCTTTGTTGCCATCCTCTGGTTATAAAGATTTCTGCAGCCCAGATATAGCCCTAAAGGGATAATTACTTCTATAAATACAAAGCATACTTGCCATGGAGTTGGGAAAAGAAAGTCTACCAACAACCTTCAGGAGGTGGTGACAGCCATGTGCAGTTGTTGAACAGGTTGCAATATCAGCTGTTATCAGCTCTGTTTGTCATGCAAGTGATATTTGAATAGAATAAGACAGTAAAAAGCCTGTGTATGCCCTCTTCCTGTTCCATGAGATTTGTCCTCCAGGCATTAAACAGATTCTAGCTCCACCTTTGCCTCTATAACAGCATTATGTACAGTAGTTTCAGATCATTATTAGATCAAAAATGAAACGGTCTGGGTTTTAGAAGCTTGATCCTGGAAAGTATCAATATACTACTGAAACTCTCATTGTCATGACCTTTAAGTGCAAAATGTGCATCATAGGGCATTATTTCTCAAGATAATTCCCACATTCTATTATAGGAATATAGTACCAGGCAATTAATGTTAGTGATCTTAGATATTTTAGCCATTTGCTTTTGTATTATTATACATTTTATGTTTTACTCTGTTACAAGAGGTGACTATTAAGAGTGGGAAAGACATTTGACAAATAAATCACATTAAATAATATCAATTATGCCTAAAATAACATCACTTTTGTCACTTCTTAAAATCTAGTCCTGAGTTTGTGGGAAACATCTGTACCAGCATCTGCTATTCTGACCTTCAAGAAATGACCATTGTTCTTAAATCATTAAGTAATTAAGATCTCCTTTTTTCTTTACTTACCTTGATTTCCAATTCATTTACATAGATGGACTCTCATGGAGTTCTCATCAGCCCTACTTTTTTTCAAAAAAAAAAAGATCAAAATATGATTGACTACAATTGCTAAGCTTCAGATGAGATGAAGGCCTTGTTGGCTTAGGTTTTGAGTGATTTTATTGACTGCTTAGTTGTTTCCAAGGTTGTGAGATTGCCTAGTTTGAATCCACATCTTTAAAACAAATATGCTCTCATAATGAGAAAGTCCCATGTCTCCTTGCTCTACCATAATCAAGCTCTCACATGCAGTCACAAGCTGTAATTGCATATTGCACCAGAATTGATGAAATATAGCAATAGCAATAGCACTTAGACTTATATACCGCTTCACAGTGCTTTACAACCCTCTCTAAGCAGTTTTACAGAGTCAGCCTATTGCCCCCAACAATCTGGGTCCTCATTTTACTGACCTCGGAAGATGGAAGGCTGAGTCAACCTTAAGCACCTCAATAAAATAGAAATAAATAATTATTATTATTATCTGGTCATTATTGTACAGAACTTAGACACATTTATTAATAGAAAATCAAATTGTGCTAGTGAGATTGAAGGATAAAAACATTTGCAGCATTGGCGTTAAAAAGATTTATTATAACAATAAGAACATCAAATACCTCCTCCCAAGCTTAAAATAGAAAATTATAGTTTGTTCACATTTGAAATGTTCCTATACACTTTCTCTAATTGGCATAGGCCTCACTAGAAAAAAGTTAAGTACCTTCCCAGTCACCCAATATTTTCCCATTCTACTATCTATCTAGATATTATTATTATCTCTTTTATTCACTAAACATGAAACTTAGTCAACTGAACAATTAAAAATGTATCACAAATATCACTGACTGGTGCTGATGGTTGATATGGATTGCTGCCAGTGTCCTAGGTATCAACCAAGTATCTTCTTAAAATGTACAATGTTCCATGGAGCACAGTTTTTTTTTGTTTTGTTTTTTTTGCAGTTCTGCTGGTGTTATTGCAGGAAACTGAAATTTCTTGATGTATTTTGTAAAATTCTTGGACATGGTACCAAGTGACAATGGGTATCACTGTTACATGTTTCATCCATAATCGCATAGTTTCAACAGCCAGGTCACGATATTTCGTGATTTTTTTCCCAGTTCTTTTTCTTCGATTCTGGTGTCTCCTGGTACAGCGATATCAATAAATTGGGTTAGTTTTGACAACTGTGATATCTGGAGTGTTGTGTTCCAAATGGTGATCTGTCTGTATTCAAAATCATTGTGGCTTGGATTAGTTTTGAATAGTTTTGAATCCTGGCAACTGCCTGAACTAGTTCCTGCAGTTTTCTTAGCAAGATTGCGTATGTGGTTGGCCTTTGCCTGCTTCCTAGGGCTGAGAGAGTATGATTGGCCCAAGGACATTTAACTGGCTTTATCCCTAAGGCGAGACTAGAACTCACAGTCTCCACGTTTCTAGCCTGATACTAACTACTAAAGTAGATGTTAACCACTTCATTGTACTGGCACTAATGTAAATTTGGGCAATCAAAATACACTCTAGTTTGCCAAAGAAACATTTTCCATGAATAACTGAATAACAGAATTGGAAGGGACCTTGGAAGTCTTCTAGTCCAATCCCTACTCAAGCAGGAGACCTTGTACTGTAACAATCTCAGTGCCATGCTTACTTTCATTCTAGAAACTGTCAAATAAATTATCTCTTGAGAGCATAATTTTATTATGCCAAAATTCAACAAATTGGCAGGAACCACAGAAAGCTTCTGTTCATTGCACAAGCCAAGTTCTTAAATCTGTTGCTTAAACCACCCCAAATATAGTTAAAGTCAGTGTCTCGCTTGCCTTTGTGGGAGCTCTCTGAGGTGTCTTTCTCAGGATCTCCTTGTCATATTGATTGAAGCAATATTTTCATACCCAAATCTTTTTCTATGGGTGTATTATCTTGAAAATCAAAATAATGATAAAGATAATTTTGATTTATTTTATTTTTATGCAGCTCTTCCTCCAGAAAGTTCCAAGAGTGGCAGAGAAAATAAAAAAGAATTCAAACCTGCTATGTCAAACATTTAGTTTTATTTATTTAGATTTATTTAGATTGTACAGTACTATGTCTATCCATGGATGTGCTGGCTGGTGGTATGGAGAAGAAAGAGAAATCTAGAAAGAATGCAAAGAAGAGCAATCAAGATGATTAGGAGACTGGAGGCTAAAACATATAAAGAAAGGTTGCAGAAACTGGGCATGCCTAGTCTAGTGAAGAGAAGGACCAGGGGAGACATGATAGCATTGTTCCAATTTTTGAGGGGCTGCCACAGGGTGGAGGGGATCAAGCTATTTTCCAAAGCACCTGAAGGCCAGACAAGGAATAATGGATGGAAACTGAACAGGGAGAGATTCAACCTGGAAATCAGGAGAAATTTTCTGACAGTGAGAGCAATCAACCAATGGAACAGCCTGCTTTCAGAAGTTGTGGGAGCTTCATCACTGAAAACTTTCAAGAAGAGACTGGACTGCCATCTGTCAGAAATGGTGTAGGGTCTCCTGCTTGGGCAAGAGATTGGACTAGATGACCTACAAGGTCCCTTAAAACTCTGTTAATCTATTTAAAAAATAATGAAATATGTATCATGATGGCACAATATACATTTTGCAGCTTTTATATCTATGTTGATATGTTGCATACAAGTACATAAAGGGTAGAGCTTGTGTTGTGATGCCCTGGTGGTAATTGCATTATTTTGACAAAAACTCAACCAGCTATGGGCACAAGAGAAAGTGCAGGAGGTGGAGAGAAGACAGTAATACACCTTTTGTTTTTGATCACCATAAAAAAGGAATGTATTGGACACAGAAAAACATATTTGCCATATCTCCAAATCTGAGATCATTGCATGAACCTTCTTGAAATGCTTGCATACTAGCTTTTATCTATAAATAACTCAGAGTCACGCTGAGAGTGAGATGGGCAGTATCCAAATCTGATAAACTTCTCCCATCATTGTTATTTTGTCAAATCCTAGTTTGCTTTTATTTGTACATATGCATTGTTAATGGTTCATCAGACTGCATACTTTTCTTTGGAGGAGAAAATGGTGTAAAGAGGAAAATCCTTTTGGATCAGCTATGTTGGGGATGGGCTAGAAGGAAGTTTATTCCCAAGAGGGATGGGCAGTCAGCCCCCTAAAACATGCACCACTTTCTCTGCATAAAAGCATGGGTTTTTTTTCCCCCTTCTGCTTTTAATGCAGAGAAGAAAAAAGAGCACATCATTCACATGAAAATGGAACAGATCCCTATGGTGATTAAAAAAAACTTGTAGAATGATACATATTTAATGACCACATAAAGGGGAAAGATGCATTTACACAGGAAATGAGTTAAATAACAGATTATATTTAGGATTTATATATGGGGAAAGAGTACTGGTATTTAAAAAAGGAGAGTAATTAAGTTGCCTTATCCAAAGACAAGAACACTGATAAGATTAGAGACACATCCACATGAAGAAAATATGCCAGTATTTCAGACATTAGAGCTTTCTATACTTTGAAAATGATTTGGGAAAAGTCCTTTAAATCTCAAGCAAGTTCAACACTTTTTCCCTGTTATTCACTAAAGCAGCCTGACATTTTTCTGGCTTCTGCACTAGTCTTAAAAACATGTGGTAGCTTTATGGGTCACTATAAGATCCTATGGCAGCAAGTCCAAGTGCAGGAAGTCAGGCTTAAATGAGAGCTAGTTTGGTCTAGCAGTTAAGATGCCAGGCTGAAAAGCAGGAGACTATGAGTTTCAATCCCTCTCAGGCATGAAAGTCAGCTGGGTGACTTTGGCCCAGCCATCTCTCTCAGCTCAACTCCCCTCACAGGGTTATTATTATAGGGAAATAGGAAAATGAAGGAGTATTGGATATGTTCACCACCTTAAGTTGTTTATAAAAGTAATAAAGCAGAGGAAACCAATCTAATAAATAATAAACTAAATCAAAGGATTTTTTTACAGCATTTATCAATTTTAACGCAATGTAGGAATGAGACAATTCAAAATAGTAAGTATAATAAGCCCCAAAAGCTTACTATAGAACCCTGAAATTCGATCTACACCACAAGTGTCAAACTCGCCACATCACATTGCTGTCATGTGACGGTTCACAACTTTTTTCCCCATTCCCGGAGCTCGGGTGTCTGTGGCCTGTGTGTGACGCATCTGGCCCATGGGCTACCAGTTTGACACCCCTGAATTCTAGACAAATCCAAGATTCAGGAATTGGAGCTGAGTATACTCTGGTAATAGTTCAAAGATCATAGAATCAGCACAGGAAGTCAGGTCCAGGACTTGTTTGCCAGCAGACATATGATGCACTCGTTTTTCATTTATACAACTGACTCAGGCATGTCTACTTTCTTAAATCATACCTCTTTTCTTTTTCTTTTCTTTTCTTTTTTCTTTTTCTTTTCTTTCTTTTCTTTTTTTTTTTGAGGAGCTTCATTGAATGTCTCTGTTGACTCTTGGATCTTTTCCTATGTAGACTTTGAAAAAGCTGACTCAGCTTGCTGCTGTGCTTTTATAACAGATGGCTGATTACCTGTTGCTCCACATCTGTAGGCTCATTCTCCAACAGCCATTTGTGAGCTGAGTCTCATCTGCATATATCTGGGAATCTGCTGGCTCCTGAGTTCAAAATCAGAATTTGTCAAGCCTTTCTCCCCAAAGTCTGATTCTTCAAACAGGTCTATAGCAGTTATTTTAATAAGCCAACTCTTTAAAACAGCTGCATCTATTTCCACAGTAGACATACAGTAGATTATTTAATGAGTCACAGAGAGTGCTTATGAAAGGCATGAAGCATTTTCTACAAATTATTTTAGATGCATCAACAGCTCTAACAGAAATTAATAAAACCTGCCTGGATATTAAAATATTAGAATATTTTAATATTAGAGTAGAGTAGAGTAGAGTAGAGTAGAGTAGAGTAGAGTAGAGTAGAGTAGAGTAGAGTAGAGTAGAATAGAATAGAATAGAATAGAATAGAATAGAATTCTTTATTGGCCAAGTGTGATTGGACACACAGGGAATTTGTCTTTGGTGCATATGCTCTCAGTGTACATAAAGAAAAAATAAAATATATTCGTCAAGAATCATAAGATATAACACTTAGTGATAGTCATAGGATACTAATAAGCAGTTAAATCATATAGGAAACAATAAAAACAATATAAGTTGTAAAGATACAAGCAACATGGATAAAGCCATAAATGGGAAGAGATAGGCACTAGTAAGGATGAGAAGAATAGTACTACAGTCTTAGTAGTTAATTTGACAGTGTTATGGGAATTAGTTGTTTAGCAGAGTGATGGCATTCGGGGGAAAAACTGTACTTGTGTCTTGTTGTTCTGGTGTGCAGAGCCCTATAGTGTCATTTTGAGGATAGAAGTTGAAACAATTTATGTCCAGGATGTGAGGGGTCTGTAGATGTTTTCACAGCCCTCTTTTTGACTGGTGCAGTATACAGGTCCTCAATGGAAGGCAGATTGGTAGCAATTGTTTTTTCTGCAGTTCTAACTATCCACTGAAGTCTGTGTCTGTCTTGTTGGGTTGCAGAGCCAAACCAGACAGTTATAGATGTGCAGATGACAGACTCAATAATTTCTCTATAGAAATGAATCAGCAGCTCCTTGGGCAGTTTGAGCTTTCTGAGTTGGCGCAGAAAGAACATTCTTTGTTGTGCTTTTTTGATGATGTTTTTTATGTTAGGTGTCCATTTTAAATCTTGAGATATGATAGAACCTAGAAGGACTCTACTGTTGATACTGTGTTGTCTAGTATTGTAAGAAGTGGTAGTATAGGAGGGTTTCTCCTAAAATCTACCACCATTTCTACAGTTTTGAGTGTATTTAGTTCAAGATTGTTCTGGTTGTACCACAAGGCTAGTTGTTAGAACATTATTACTAATGGAATGCATGATGAAAAGGAATAGTTTAAAATTGGAATGAAAAAAAAATATGGCCATAGAAGTATTTCAATATAGAATTTACTAATTTTGGATTTGGAAGTTATTCACCTATCTGCTACAGACTAGATTTGAAATATTTGAAAAAGTCATATTCCACTACAGTGTATTTAACATTTTGTACTGGAGAGATTAGCAAGATTACAAAATGATATGCCTGAAAGTGAGGCTATAGGCTGTATGTAGAACTACTAAGCTGAGATGGAGTGGGGGATATCATTGTTCCTAGCAGCACTCAGATTCCAAACTCCCCTCCCCCCATCCTGAATACCAAACAGCACCCCTAAATAAAGGCTGCACCCATATTGGCATTCAAGACTAAAGAGGCAAGCAACTTTGGAGAGAGAACTTCCTGTATTGTAACAAGCACTAGTTGGGAGACCAACTGCAGGGTTTTTGAAAAGGAAGCCAAAATATTAGTGCTTAATTTAACTCCTTTCTTTTTAAAGTAGCCATTTCTGTAGGTGACTTTTGTTTTGCTGTATGGAATTTTTGTACAGTATTGTAATGTTCTGGTTTCAACATATGGACTGAATAATGTTCATCTCCTCTAACTATTTTCTGTGTAGCTTGTTGATTACAGAACATAACACTAGCATATCCTATTTAGTAGAGTAACATTAAGACCGCAATGGTGTTTCATATTATTTGTGCAAAAGCCAGCTTGCTGGAAATAGGCCATTAAAATACATGGCTGTCCCAATCGCTACTTCCACAAAATGGAGTATAAATGAAATAGTCTCCATTAATGTGCTGATGTTGGGATATGGTCTGGCAAGACAAGACTTACAGATGTTGTTTATTTACCAGCAGAACTTTGTATCCAAATTGGTATTTGGCTTTCCCTGCTTCTTCCTTCCTCTCAGCTTTTATTGCAAAGATGAATCCCATAAAAATATTTAGGCAATAACAGATATTGAAAAATTACATCTGGAAAATATCAGTGTGCATGTCACCTAATCACAGGATGGCTGAATGCCACAAGAGATTCTTTATCCATCCTTGAAAAGACAAATCAAGCTTAACCGTGTCACGAAGGCACAAGACACAAACTCTAGAGAGGGAGCTATTCCATGGCAGCAAAAAAGTGCCAAGTCTGGTGGTTTTATCTTTAAAGATAAAGAAATATCTTATGGCATCAACTGCACAGAAACAAACCATTCACGTTTCCTAAACCTTTGTCAGATAATTCACTTAGACTCCTAGAACAAATATGGCTGCTATTTTAGACATGACAAAATTGCTCAGTGTTGTCATTGTTTTTTTCAATGGGCAGTCTCAGGCTAAATAATCTTGTGTGTGCCTACGTGACAAATCAGTTGCCGAATGAGATAGCAAAGGATTTACTGTCACTTCTCTTGTTCCTGACAAAAGCAAAAGTTCCTGACAACAGCTGAACATAAACTGTATTGCTAACCTACCCAAGAACTGGTTCTGATTAATGTCTGCTGAGGTCTAAGGGTCAGGAAAAACTGCATGATGGGGTATAGTTTTTGTGGAGGAGAAAGGTAAAGGAGAGCCTCCAAGAATGGAAGCTGGAGCTATAAGCCAGAAAGGGCCTGCCTCAAATTTTACTCAGTAAGCCTAGGACACCTCTCACTTACTCATTCTGTCCTTGGAAATATGATGACATGGCTCACGTAGCATTAAAAACTACATGTTATTATTACAACCACAGCTATGTCTGTTGCTTTTTGTTCCCCTAGAAGATGTTGTAAGCACAATACATTAAATGTGTTAAATGTGTTAGTGGCCTTATTTTATTTTTAGAATTTATCAAGACCTTGGAAGATCTGCTTAAGAAAAGGCAATGTGTATTTTGAATCCCACCCACCCCCTCATCTCTGCCTCTCTTTCAAGGCTAAATTGATGTTTATGTAACCCTCTTTGTATGTTTCCTTCAGAGAAAAAGACCTATTGACTAGACCATTCCCCCCCCCACCCTAGAAAATACATTCATACTAATGCATCTACTTTAGATGAGACTGGCTATTAATGGTAAATAGCCATGAATTTAAGACACCAAGATTCACTCCATCCATTTACCTTTATAAACCACAGATTACTATATACTTTAAATGATCCGTGGCACAAAGAAAGTACTTTGGATTAGTTTTATATCTGCAGTTTAGATTGCCTCCTCATTCCCTGCATTTTTTGACTTGGTAAAGAATAGAAAATGGAAGAGGACTGAAAGTAAATTTCTAGTCAGTGAAGTGAAAAGAGAATTAGAAACTCCAGACTTTATACCTGCCAAAACACAGAAGTGTAAAGAGATGTGCTCTGAAAATGTTTTTGTTTATTTTTACTGTCTTGTTTTCTATGTAGGTCTGCATGTCTGTAACCCCTTTCTTAGATTTAATCCCCTCAGAAAGTCTTTTTACAATGAGTAGGAAACATAAAATTAAAATCCAGGAAGTTGTTTCTAAATAATAAATGGGCTTACATTTGGGGATAGCTTTAGGTTTATTATAAAACTCTACAAAACAATGAAAGCAAAACTAGAGGCTAGAATTACCCAGTTTTAATTAGCCCCTGTGGCTTTTAAGACAGAAACTTCCTGATCCAGGGGGTCAGTGTAAGAGAAATGAATAGGGAATATCAGAGAAAATACCTGAAATAATTTTTAAAGTAAACTGATTTATTAAACACCTTAGCAAGATTTGCTGAACTGCAGAACTAGAAACTTCTGATTTCAAGAAGCAGACTCAGAGCTATACACCAGTGAGTTAAGAGACATTTTATTTCATTTATTTTGCACCAGAAGAATCTTTAAATTAGAGGCACTTAAAACCAAACAAACAAAAGGTATGTCATGGGCTTGCTTGGCACATTAAAACAAAGACACCATTTAGTTGTGTTTTGGTGTTTTATATTTTCCATTATTGTGTTTTGTGTTATATATTTTCCATTACTATGTTTTGATGTTTTATATATTCCATTATTGTTTTGGAGTATTATATATATTCATTATATCTACAGGATTGAGGAACAGGTTGGGAAATAACATGTATCCCTCCCTTATTGTTCTCCCTCGTCTATTTTTTAATATTAAAATGTATTGCTTTGACTGTATGCCTTTGATGCACTGATAAATAAAGCATATATAGCATATTGATAAACTATGGGATGGAAGTGAATTCCCAGTGGTTATTATTTAATCATATAACTATAGCTTGTACCTATTTTCAAGCGGAACTAATATAGGGGAATGAAACTGCAGAAGGTTGCCAAAAGTGAGAATGACCATATAGATTACTGCTAGTTAATGCATAAAATGCCATTAGTGCCCAAATCTCTTTGCAATTGTTGACACGGTAAGGAGTTGATTCTTTCCTAGCCTTCATTGCCACTTGTTGTCAAGGAACATGAAGCTCTAGCATATCACTGGAGACTTCTAGTCACCAATGGTGGCATCAAGAAGAGATAATTAAAATGAGACATCATGTTTCACAGATCATTCCTACAGACTCTGCTATTAAAACTGTATATGTTTTTTTCACTCAGACATTTTTATGCCAGTGACCAGAAGCACATGAAATGGAAGACTAACACAGTTCAGAAATATCCCCCTGTCCACCAAGCTTCCTTAAATTTTCATTACATTAATTCCAGGACTAATACGAGTTATGAGAGTTTAAGCTTGTCCTTGCTTAGGGATCTTCTGATTACTTAAGTAGTGGTCCCAGAAACTACATAGAGCATTTGCTCCTGGGAGCCCACTGAAAATAATGTTTATAGACTATCATTTAATTCTCAATAACTTCAATCGTAAAACCTAAGATATCCCCAAATTCACTTCTAAACTCATTTAAATCAAAGTCCTGGAACAATTTTAGGTTGTGCATGAGTGTGTGATTAATTTCTCCAGTATTGTACTAATTCTCATGGCCTCCTTCAAAATGTTACAATCTAAAAAGAGCCCACAGTTTGATTCAAATTTCATTTGCATACCTACATTGTGATTCTTTCTACTTCTGATACATTATGCACAGACATAGCTCTCCAGAGAAGGATGTTGTTCTGTAAAAGGTAGAAGAAGAAAGAAGAGGACAACCATAGCAAAGTGGTTTAGTTACAATGGCAATGAGTGCACCATCGGAAGACCTGAAATACTGGGTTAGGTCTTTTACTCATCATGGAGAATATCTATGAGGTTGCTAAGAGCTGACACCAACCTGATAGCATAATAAATCACTAAATCTTAAAAATCTTTAATATCATGAATGAAGAGTATCAAGAGAGCCCTCCATTTGGGAGGGGACTTTAAAAAAAGACCAGGACCTTCATTATTGTCTCTGAAACTCTTTGCATGGCACAGATATAAGATATCATACTGTTTCATACTAAGTTGGACAACTATATCTATTCTTAACTGCTCTTTTTAAGATTATCATGATTGTGTTGCTTTTTAACATATGCCACCCTTCCAACCAATTTTTCCCTGCAGCCATGTATTTGGCTGTAATGTATGTTTTCCCAGCCAAGTGATTGTGGCAGCTCCTTGTCATTTCAGGGAATGTTTCTTCTCATGATGCCAATGAAAATGATTCTTAATAATTTCCTATCCCTTTCTTGGAGAGCATGGTGTTAAAAAGCACCCACCTTTTTCCTCAGTACATTAATTTTGTTTTCTTTTGGCATCACTTCTTTCAGAGCTTCAGTACTTTGGGGAAGCCATGTGCTCTCAAATGGCTTTCCCTGTGGCTTGTATGTAAAGATTTTTTAAAATAAATAAATGCAGTATGGGTTGGGCATCCACTATTTGAAGGGCTAATGGTTATTGACTATCCTCTGACAGAGATCAGGGAGACTAGCCTGAGGCTCTTCTAACTCAGCCCCAAATACACTGAATGTTAACAAATATTTCCTACATTTGGATGGGACTGGACACAAAACAAGGCAATCAAAATGCACCGTTTAGTGTACAAATGTAGATGACAGAGTTGAGTTTAAGATAAAGAAGGCAATGGTTTTGCATCTTACTGAAACAGGCAGAAGAGCCCCTGGGTGCTTTTGCTTCGTGATTCCACAGCAAAAAGGTGCTTGTGTCAATACAAGTCTATCTTCCCAGTTCCCAGCTGCCACACTGAATTGACTCTGTTAGCTACAGACAGAAAAGGCTTCCATTGCCAACATTTTCTCTCAAGCTCAATTGAGAAGCAAGACAACTAAGAGAAACTAGTGCTCAGGAAGGTAGCCGGCTGTATTGACAGAGAATCATCTTCATGTCCTTAGATATTTTGCCAGTTTTTCCTGATGCCAGAAGGGAAAAAGCTATCCTCATTGTCAGTATTTAACTTAAGAGGCTGTTGTCACTAAAACTACTAAATTCTCTTCTTGAAATTCAATTCAAAAGTCTCTCAATTTGCAAGATCTCCATATCATTATCATAATCATTAAGCAAGATCTCCATATCATTAAATATTCTCTTAGTTCTCATCAAAGCTTAACTACTTGAAGTGAATCTTCCTTCCTTCCTTCCTTCCTTCCTTCCTTCCTTCCTTCCTTCCTTCCTTCCTTCCTTCCTTCCTTCCTTCCTTCCTCTCATCAATTGCCTTCTCTTTGCCCCTCCAAGGATGTCCATGGAAAAAAATTGTCCCTCAGAGAATATAAAGGTCTAGAAAAATCTGAAAATCTGACTGATGATAAATATACTGAACAATTTATTCCCCACAGAAGTCCTCAATACTGAAATTATTCTGAAACCTTCAGTTTTCTACTGTTGACCTTAATTTTTCACTTAACACTAATTATTCTTGAAATCTCTGCGAAATCAGTTCTTTAGGGTGAGGAAGTGCTACCTAGAAATGATATGCAAAGGGAAGGATAATGATACAGCAAGGCCCCAGATTTTCGGGTGAAATATCCAATTGCACTAGTATTGCTCTAAATATGACCAAGACTCATTGCTCTTGCCATTTGTACATGTGTGAATCTGAACCAGATGTTGCTTATCATATTATTTTGCCTGCAAGATTTGAAAAGCTATTGCCGCTTTTAAAAAAACTGTATATTTGTGAAAACCCATATTTACTTATGAATTTCCTGGGTAATAAGTGGCAAAGCCAAACAAATTTTGTACATATTGAAGCTCTCCTTGGACAGTGTCAGAATAAAGGTGAAAGCATTAACATTGGCATAGCAAAGGGCAATGTAAGATTTTTCCTGTCAAGTTGACCAGACCTGGATGTCAGAGTAATGAATGCTAATACTATGTTGATTATAAAGTTACAGCAACAGAATATTGCAAGTTTGAATGTGCTTCCCCACTCCCCCCTTTACTTTCATGAAAAGTAAAGGGCCATGTCTTAGATGCCTACTCAAATTTCATTTCTGCCCCAGACTCAGATTCCTTTTGTCTGACTATTGCTTTGTTTGCTGCTCTTCCTCCTGCCCCTCAAGATTATTCCTTCTTTCCACTACAATCCCATCCATAGACTGAGAAAGAGATGAATTCAACATCATAGGATGATGGCAGTGAAAAACAATAGGGCATATTGCAGGCCCACTGCAGCTGAAGTAATCCAAACAAGGCAATTAAATTTACATTAATTCTTTGTATTTTCCAGTATTTACATCATTACAAAATGATGCAAATTGCACCATTTGTATTGTATCATTACGAGATGGCTGTAAATCACCCCAAGTGGTAGAATTCGAGACACAAGTCTGAGAATACCAGCCTCCCCTACTGTTCCATTAAATCAAACTTTCACAGTATAAGTTTTTATGGGTGAGTGATGATTTGAAGTAAAGCAGAAGTTACATGTAAACGTAAACAAAATAAGGAGCTATTCTCCATCTAGAAGTAAAGTGCTGGTGATGAATGGAGGATTGTAATAAGAATCTGTCCTAATGGGATTATGAAGTTGATTGCTGGCCAATTTGTCTATCTGGCTTTGGTAGAGTTTTCATCTAGTGCTACCCAGGAAAGTGCTGGACCTGGAGGTTTGTGCTGGCATTACTTATCCCATAGTTATTTATCTTTAAATATTCACCTATGCTGGAAATTATACCAGTGTTAGGAAGGAAGGAAGGAAGGAAGGAAGGAAGGAAGGAAGGAAGGAAGGGGAGAGAGAGAGAGAAAAGGGAGGGAAACGTATGATTTTAACTTTGGCCATGTATTGAGAAACATATGTTAGCATTTAACTATTCATTCTTTTGGAGAAAACTGGTTAACCCCTTAAGTGTTTTGCCCTGAAGGCAGACATTAAAGGTTAATTATAACCACATGGGACAAGCCCCATGAGAACCATGACAGCATTAAACTGCTACCAACCAAGCATGCAGGATGCGCAGCCCTCCCAGGGAACCCCAAACACAAAAAGGATGCTGTCTCCTTGAATGAGTCCTGAGAAGTTAAAAACGTGCACTGTGAAAAGGCACATTGCAAGCGCTCCATCCAGAGTGGGAAAAGCTTCTGGTGGAAGGAGAATTAGAGCAAATGAAAGCAACGGAGCACTGTGATTGATGTAGCAGAGGCAAAGAGGTCCCTCAACAGTTTAGATGCATTTTGCAATTGAAAAGCACATTTCAAAGAGGTTGTATATAGCAGATTGAGATATAATTTTCACTTTTTTTTTTAATGACAATATAAACGGAACCTCATTCACCAAGCACAAAAACAGCTTCCCTGGGCATTTGATGTAAATGAAAATGTCAGCTAATAATGTTAAAATACTAAGGAAGTTTTTAAATTTACAGATCTCTTTCCCATGTTGTATGAAGACTGAAAAGCATTAACAGTCTGCAGATGGTCTCAGTCTTAAGATGTAATGCAAGGCATGTTATACAGATTTCCTTTCTTTCTTTTTTAGAAGGCTATTTAAGGCATCTTGTAATCTGTTTGAAACTTATTAAGTCTAGTTTAATAAGCTTGTTCAAGTTTCCTGATTGCATGTGATTGATTTAATGAGGGCGTTGTAAGAAATGTAAGCAAAGAGGGGCTAGGACAGTAGAGTGTTCCTCCTGTGGAGTATACCTACTGGAAACCAGTGGGCAGCTGATTGTAAAAATGGCTTCCTGTCTCCCAAAGGCCTGGGCTCAAAATTCTAGACAACTTCTAGAAAGTAGTAAAGAATTAGAATATCTTAGACATCTTTGCATCCTCTAGTGGTCATCTTGATTCAGGCAGCAAAGGTGCCTGAGTAGCTAAGGCTATTTTTTAGAAGTTGGGGGCTACACTTCTGTTTTTTTAAATATATATTTTGATCAAGATGATGACTCTGAGATTATTGAGGGTATGTCTGTCCTGGTTTATGGAAGATGAGAAACATGCAATGTTCCTTGTTTTGTTCCTAAAATGTAACACCCCCCCCCCAAAAAAAATAATGTTCTACTGAACATGATGTTTTGGGCATTGAAACCTAGAGTTGATCCAAGGACTACACAACTGGGGATGAGAGGCCAAATGAAGCTCATAAATCTCATGTTGCCTGTCCATATCCCAAAGCTTGGAAGAGGAGAAGAGAGGATTGATTGGATCTCTATTCATAATGTAACTCCCGGCTTCTTGTTCTTAGGTGACAATCTATTGTATTTCCTGTCTGCACATAAAGCTGGCCCAGGACTTTACCAGATGCAAAGCTGGTAACTTCATAAGAGAATCAAATTGTAAATTATTGTTATGCTTAGACATTATTATTGCTGCAGTAACAGGAAAAGAAGCTTTTTTCTGTAGAAGCCATTCATAGAGTGGCCACAAGTCCCAATTTATAATTTACAAGCAACAGATTTCAATTTGAAGGATATTATATTGTTTGATGGTGTCCATTTTTCAATTTTCCTGAAAGATAAAATACTTTGAGAGAAGATTCATCCAGCTCATAGATTCTGAATATGTAACTGTTTCTATATATAACAGTATTATAATCTGTATTATAGGTCTGTCTAAATTAAAACAATTATTTTTTCATTTGGATGCATACATCCAAAGTGACTTTTGTAGATCTCCATCTTGTTTTGTCCTCTATTTAGGGGCTGGATATATCCTCCTTTTATGCTCCAGCAGCACATTATTTTAATAACCATATACATATGTACAAATACATAAATAATCATCATGATCTTCCTTTGGGGTAAACAAAATTATACAAATATATTATACTGAAATAATATTAGGTATGGTACACAAAAGAAATCAAAGGCAGGAGATAAGAGAGAAGAAAAGAATTGGAAACTAGTTCATGCCAAGACCATTCATTTTCTATATACTACTAAAACTTGTTGTTATAACCTTCAACTGTGTGAAATGGGTACATCATAGGGCAATAATGTTGGAACCAAGGTATCTCAAATAAGCTAACTTACACAATGTGCCCAAAAGCTGGAATATGGGAGAATTGTGACTGCTCCAATGCTACTGGTTGTTGCTGTGCTGCTATGCTGTTGCCAAGGTCACCTGATCTTCATTTTCAATGTTCCATAACAGTTTTCATGGGATGGGATGGGATGGGATGGGACGGGACGGGACGGGACGGGACGAGATGGGACAGGAGAGGATGGGAAGGGAAAGGAAGGGAAAGGAAGGGAAAGGAAGGGAAAGGAAGGGAAGGGAAGGGAAGGGAAGGGAAGGGAAGGGAAGGGAAGGGAAGAGTTTTTTGCCTGCCCTTGGCCATTCTGTTTTTCTGTTTAGGTAAGGAAATATCTCTAAAATGACGACACAATGGGGCATTGGTTGTCTGGTACCTCCTTATTCCTTTCTATCTTTGCAAGCTATCCTTTCTCCCATCACATCCACATACTAAGTCATACACTGCTTTTTTGTCTGTAAACTTTTCTTTCCTTGAGGATCTCATCAATTCAATCCAATCATTTCTTTTTTCATCTTAACCCACCATATAATGGAGGAAAATAATTCAACCCTCATTCGTTTTCTTAAAATCACCCCCATCCACTCTTTTCATACTGGCCACTTGCTTTTGTACACAATCCAAATTCATTCAGTATCCTTTCATTCTTATCCTACCATACATACTTTTTACCACACTTATTTCTTCAGTACAACATTCTCACTGCATTCAACTTATTGATATATCAAACTCTGACCTCCGTATAACAAAGTGAGAAGAAACACATTTTTCCCAGCTTCTAGCTTTCGTTAACCATTTCTTCCTCACAATAAACCACATACTACCTGCCATTTTATTACCAATATGTGAACATCTTAACATATCTCTTCCCATTTTCTCATCTTTATTAAACATTCTACCAAAGTACACAGATTCACATACTTGCTCTACTTTTAAGCTAGTTATATAGTTTGAAGTTCTTTACTCAGTTTCCCTGTGAAACATAATAACCTTGCTCTTTGATATGTTAATTTTCAGATCCATATTCCTGGTTGAATCAGATATCTAACTTTCACTTCAATTCATTTGCATTCTTGGCCACCAATATAGTCTTATATGCACACAAAAATACACTCACATGCATATATTCAACTAACACACATCTAATATCACCATAAGTATTCCTTTTCCAATTATACATAAATATATTAAACAACCAAGGGGATATCACACATTATCCTCCCTGCTCAATAGTGAATATTTGCTAAGCATTTTATTTATTCTTATGCATACTTTATCATGTTTTATCATTCCTATTGTATTCAGCTATCAACCCTCATATTTGGGCAAAGCATAGTAATTCAAAGCAATTAATTTTATTATAAGCTTTCTCTAAACCAACAGGTGGAAAAGCATTAACTATTTTATAGAGTCCTGTGGAAAAACATCAGTAAGATAAATTACAAATCTGAAATGGAAACAGTGTTAGTTCTTACCAGGCAATGAAGAAAATAAAACAATTAAGAAGTAAAAATAATTAGTTCCACTGAGATATTGTAACTTCCAGATAATCTAATCCTTTAGTAGTCTAGATATAATACTTTGTTTGGTTGTTTTGAAACACATACAAAGATTAATTTCTGTCACTCCTGCAAGGATGAGTCTTGTCTCAGTAACCTTGTTGACTTTGTGACATTTATCAGAGAAGCATGGGGATACAGTGATCTAACAGATATTTTATTCTTAGATTTTCATAAAGCCTTTGATAAAATCTCTCGTCAAAGACTGTTGAGCAAATGGGCTAAGAGGACAAATGCTGTCATGGACTCAAAAGTAGTTTAGAATCTCTTGAAAAGATAAACATCACTTAAAAGGACAGTTTTTAAACTGGATAAATATTCAAAGCTGTGTTAGTCAGCAACGGCTGTTGAGTTTGTTATTGTTAAATTGTTTATAAATCATCTAGAGTTAGAGTTGTGAAGCTGGTGTATAATGCTATGCTGTTCAAGGTAGTAAAATTTTTAAAAGAATTGTGAAACTTTATAGCAAATATACTTCGACATATTCAAGAATTTACATTGTGAACCCAAAACTTCAGACTTGATATACACTGTATATTAATAGAGCTGGAGCGGTCAATAACTACAGAAGGATCTTGATCAATCTTTCAATGAAAATGTCAACATGATATTTAGAAAGGAAATTGAAAATAGCCTCCACAAGGTGGGACTTACTCTTGATAAAACCACTTGAGTATGGAAACAATGTGATTAAAGAAATGATGTGCTTCTCTATAAAAAAAAAACTTTATATTTGACTAGCAGTTCCGTAAAGAGAGGATTGGTTGAAAGTATTATGGGAAGCTGCTGAACATGTGCCATGCAAGGGTCAAAAAGCCTTGTCCAGCTGTCAGATGTTCCAGAAACAATCTCAGAAGACAGATGATTCAAAGCTGTATGGCCATTTCGTTGGGAAGAAGGATGTTTTTCTTTGTGAAAGACCTTCTTGGGTAGGTGTTTCAGACCTGCACAGTCCTACTTGAAAAGAATCAGAAAAGCAAAGCTTTGATATAAATCTGGGGTGAGATGTTGCAGAGCTGGAAAAAGAACCAAAAGGGGAAAGAAAAATATGCATGGGCAGAAAAGGTAGGGATATGCATGTGAATAGGATGAATGACTGCTTGTATAAATAGATTGTGTGAAAAATGTATTTGAACATGATGGATGAAGGGTGTATAGGAATGCATAAGAAAAGAACCAATAGTGTGTGCATAATATATATCTTCTTTGGCCCTGGCCATTTTTTGATGTTTTCCTCCACAGGAAGACTAAAGAGGACAAATGTTTTTAAAATAATTGTGTGAGGAGAATAGATTAATATGGGAACTTTGCATGTTATTAGATACACAGCAGGGCAAATCAGAGTTTGGACTACCTATGTGTGAGAGACAAAATGAAACCTTGTACTTCTGAAATGGAAAATAGGGTCCATTAATGCCAGTTTAGGCAAAGATAGTCATTTAACAGTAGAGCTTGAGAGAATAAACTCAGATGAATATGCCTCAAAATCTAGCAGAGGCTATTCTAATATTCCTGAAGAGCCAACCTAACTAGAACAAAGCAACTGGGACAATCCAAGGCCCCGGAGTAGTGAGGACCAATACAGGATGGGTTTTATCTCTTCAGCACATCCAAATATTATGGTTTGTAAACTAATCAATTCTCTTACCTAAAAATCTATAGTATCATTTTTAGAGATTTATACTAATATTAAAACTGTGCAAATTTTACTTAGTGGGGGGGAGGGGGAAAGGCAGTGATTATACAATGGAGAAAGAAAATGTATATAGATTATAATGATTAAATAAACTGTGTGAACCTCCCCCAAAAGAAATCTATTTGACAGAACAAAAGAGAACTACAGTTCCATATATTAAATATTAATAGCAATATTAATTTAATTCAATTTTTAAATGATTTTTTAACATTAAATCCAGACAAGTGCTGTAAGCTACCCAGAGTCATTTATTTGAGGTGGGTTACTATACACATTGAAATAATGAATAAATAAAAAAATTAGAAACTTACTGCTTTCTCTTTTCATTTTTAGAACATAGTGGTCTTTCAAAAATAGATAATAAACATATACTGTGGATCCATTACTTAATATCAGGGGAGTAAGTTTCTGTCCAGTTACATAAAATTATCCTCTGCAGTACCCCAGAATTGACAGAGCTAACATCTTCATGATATAATAGCTTCCATGTTTTAGGGATATAGTCAAACATCACAAAAATTTTGATTATTTTCTTCCCAAAATTGGATTGACTTATGTAGTGATCTGAAACAATAGGACTGTAGTTGACAAAGATCAGATCATGTAAGTTAACAGAACATTCAAATTTCTTACAAAGCAAAAGGAACAAAAATATAATGTCCACCTTTTTTAAAACATTCTCTAAGGCAATGAAGTAATATTATTTTTATGGACTAATTTCACTTTTAAATCATAAGAAGCATGTTTTACATTTCATATCACCCTGACCCATTAATTTTCCAGAATTGGATATTCAATTTTTCATTCCACAATTCAGATATATAATTAATTGTCATTTTACTTTTTAACTTCTTATAAAATTGAATTGTTTTCTGTTCAAACACTGCATTTCTTAAGGATCATAAAATTGCATCTATCTCGGAGGCTGGTAAAACATCTGAACCATACTATTTAATTAATACATGTCTCATTTGCCTACATTGCCAGGTGAATATTGTAGGCAAGTCATATTCAACATGCAATCTCTCAAGATCTTTAAAACAACCATTTGAAATTGTTTAATTCAGGTCTGACTTGTTTAACCCACACATTCAATAATCTTCATTTTTCAAATTTGGGTTGTTCCACAATGTTAATGTCTCACGAGGTTTGGGATCAAAACATAACCACTATTAATGATCATATGACCTTATAGCTCTCAAGACTGGAAATAAAGATCCCCACTGAACATATTGGACCCTTCAAAAGTCTATGTATTAGGCAGGCATCTGTATACCTAATGGAGCCTGTGACTCAAGGCCTTTGTATATATGAGATTGCCTATCTGACATTATACCCAGCCTACCCAATCCAACTGCACACACAAAAATGGCAGTTGAAAGTTCCCTCCCTGTTTACCAAGAAATATAGCAGGAGGGAATCCAAAAGCAGACATTCAATGTTCTTGTTCCTCTGGAACAGCATGCTCCTAAGATGAACTTGGCTCCCCCTCTCACTGTCTTCCAGAAGCTTATAAAATCTTTGCTGCTCCAGAAGGTCTTTGGAACCTGATTGATGAGGTTCCAGATGTGCCAATGTCAATGATAACACAATACTTCAGATCCATTGTTTTTCCATATAGATAGATAGAAGAGAAAGAGAGAGAGAGAGAGAGAGAGAGAGAGAGAGAGAGAGAGAGATTCTTTGCATTGGCTCATTGCTATTCTTCCTTGTACTCTGTCTAGAGTATTTGAAAACTGAGACAGTTTATAAATTTTACAACTAAGAGTAAAATAAATCTGGGGATAAATGGAAATGTATTATTTTTCATT